CCACCACTTGACCACCACCTACACCAGCACCAGTTAACCGCCACCACCACCTTCACCAGCACCACCACCATCACCACCAAAACCAACACCACTACCACCACGACCGATTGAACACCACCACCAGCAACACCACTTGACAGTTACCACCATCACCACCAGCACTTGAACACCACCACCAGCACTTGAACACCACCACCAGAACCACTACTTGACCGCCACCACCACAAACACCACCAGTTGACCCCGCACAATCTCCGCCACTAAGGTAAAACCACCACCACCACCAGCACCGAAACAACCACCACCACCACCACCACGAACATCACCACCACCACCACCACCACCACTTGACCACCACCACTTGACCACCAGCACCAACACTTGACCAACACGAACACCAGCATCAGTTAACTGTCGCCACCACCATAACCACCAACACCACCAACACCACAACCTGATCACCAGCACCATCACCAACAACACAAGAGCACAACACCATCAAATGACCAATACACCATCACCACCACGACCACCAAGAGCACCACCACCACCACCACTTGACCACCACCAACACAACCACCGCTTGACCACCACCAACACCTCTTGACCAGCACCATCACCACTCTACCAGCACCACCAACTTCAGCATCGCTACATGAGCACACCACCACCACTTGTAAACCACCACCACCACCACCATCACTACCAACACCACCACCACCATTACTTGACCATCACCACCACCACTGCAACACGACCACCACCACTTGATCAGCGCCACCACCGCCACTTGACCACCACCACCACCACCATCACCACTACTATCACCACAAACCCCACCACCACGAACACCACCACCACAATCACCACCATCATCACCACCACCACCACTACTTGACCACCACCACCTCCAATGTAACAGTACCACCACCACTTGATCACCACTATCACCACCAATTGAGCACCACCACGACCACGACCAACGCCAGCACCACCACACCCACAGCCACAACCACGAGCACTACCACTACCGCAACAACGCCACCACCTCCACCACCAACTCCAACACCACCACCACTACTATCACCACCACCACCACCACCACC